TATCCTAGGATATTTATTTCTTATCTGTTTTTAGTGAAGGATTTCCAACTTTTGATGTGTTTTGTTTAGCTCCTCGCCTCTTAATGAAACACTTAAAAAATAAAGTTTTGCTAGTGTTTGCTATGGTCAGGCTTTATTCTCAATTTTAGGGTGACTATTGTTGATAGAATCAGTACTGGGTATCTCCTCAGATTATAGACTGGCACATTATACTGCCACATCCCCTTTCCTTCTGTCTGTTGACTGTTTGCCATAGCTAATGTTGCTTAACCACTGGTCCTGTCCAGCTAGTTCTGGAAGGCTTACCAGAATGAAGAAATACAGCAACTGGACAGTTGTTGTTTTTTTTTTTAATATGCAACCAAGCAGAATAGAGTTTGGTTCTCTTTTTAAAGAAGGTAATGTCTGTCATACCAAGTTTCTTGGGCTGGGAGGCTACTGCCTTCATCATGGACTTCAGTGTTACTGAGGAGAAATTAATTAGCCCCCCTAACTGGTGGATTAGACAGTGAAATATAACCACTACTCAGAGTCTACAGTCCCAACTGACAGACCCTTACCAACGAATACTACAATCTCTTCCAGCATATACTGTGTTTCTTAACATTTAGCAGATCTTGATTAAAGTGGCCTCTTTGGTTGCAGAAGTTTTAATGACATTCTCTCACTTCATGCATCTGGTTTTCCATATTTGATCCTTCATAAACAGGGAGAAGAGAGAACTTTACGCTTATTCATAATAGTCCATTCCAACTGCTAAAGAGATCCAGGCTTCTAATAACTAACGGATGAACTTAAGAGATTTGAGAAGACAATAAACAAGTGTGCAGGCTGCTGAGGGAAGTCTTTCTGATTCCCGGCAACTAGAGCAGGTCTCCCCAGTAAATACCTCAGGCAGCAATCTGGTGATGTCTTTTGGATAGCAATAAACTATCTCTCTGCCCCCAACCTTTCTTCCTTTTTGGCTTCCAAGATGATAAAAATCTCTGAACTGATCAGGGTTCGGGGTTCAGAGTGAAGGCCTTTGTGAAATAAATATATTCTGTAACTCTGTGGTTACACCATGCAACTTCCACAAGGTCTTTATTAGAAACACTCAACTTGAGGGACACCTGAGTGGCTCAGTCATGAAGCATCTTGACTTCGGATCAGGTCATGATCTCTCAATTCGTGAGCTTGAGTTTGAGTTTCACGTTGGCTGAGCTCATGCCCCACGGGTGAGCTCTGCTTCTCTCTCTCTCTCTCTTTCTCTCTCTCTCTCTCTCTCTCTCTCCTCTCTTTCTCTCTCTGTCTCTGCCCCTTATGGGCTTCTCTCTCTCTGCCACTCACTTGCACCTTCTCTTTCAAACAAGTAGAAAGAAAGAAAGAAAGAAAGAAAGAAAGAAAGAGAAAGAAAGAGGGAGGGAGGAGACTCAATTTCACACAAAGAGGGTGAAAATATGCTTGGAACTGAGAGAATGGTGTGCAGCTTTTCCTTAGTATGAAATCTTTACATAGAAGCCTTTCTGTTTTTATGGATCACCACTTAGCATTTCATTGATCTCTGATGGTCTCTAAAAAAGACCTTTTCCTTTCTGTCTCCTTTCTCCCTCTCTATGAACCTGGATCCTCCCCATTAATACTTTGTGTCCAAGATCAAGGAGACCCTACAGATCTGTGACTGGGAATTGTAGACATGTGCTGTACATTAGAGTAGCCACTAGCCACATATGGCTACTGAACACTTAAAATGTAACTAGTGTGGCTGAGGAAATGAATTTTTAAAGTTAGCTTAATTTTAATTTATTTAAATTCAAAATTGTAGCTATTAAACAACACTAAACACAATTCTAGTTTTGGTAAGACTACATTTCACTGTAAGCTTTGAAAATTTACCATTGAATCGAGATGTGCTAAAAGTGTAAAATATAGAGTTCAAAAACACTTTTTAAAAGGATCTAAGTGGTCTCAATAATTTTCATATTGACTAAATGTTGAAATAATAATATCCTGGATAATTAATCTAACTAAAGCATATTATTAAAATTAATGTTTTCCTGCTCCTTTTTACTTTTTGAATGTGGCTATTAGAAAATGTATATATGTGGCTCTAATTCTCATGAACAGCATTTTTTAGATTCTCACATTCTTCAGGATAGAATTCCTACTGAATACAGTAGTCTCTCCTCGCCTGTGGTTTGCTTTCCACAATCAACCTCAGTCTGGAAGCAGATGATTCTCCTTTTGACTTCTGGTCGGAGACCCATAGTAGCCTAATACCAGGTCACAATGCCTACATCTCGTCACATAGGCATTTTATCATCTCACAGCATCACAGGAGAAAAGGTGAGTACAATACACTAAGATATTTTGAGAAAGAGAAAGCCCACATTTACATAATTTTTATTACAGTGTATTGTTATAATTGTTTTTATCATTATTGTTATAAATCTCTTACTGTACCTAATTTATATATTAAACTTTATCACAGGTATGTATATATAGGAAAAATACAGTATATATAGGGCTCAGTACTATCCATGGATTCAGGCATTCATTTGGGGTGTTGCAACATATCCCCTGTGGGTGAGGTGGAGGGGACTGCTGCACAACCTTCTCTCTTGGTTATAGAGGTCACCATTCATACCATAAATTCAATCCAAAAGACTGGTCTCCCTCTCTAAGGTGAGGGAAAACAAAGAATGGGGAACAAACCTCACCCTGAAGTCATCACCAGTTCTAACACTCAGCATCAGAGTATCAGAATCATCTGTCTTCAGGTGGGCGGGTAATGAAGACAGCGGCCCAAGGGAGTTTGGATGGCTGGGTCGGGAGAGAAAGGAGAGGAAGGTGTAGACAAGTAAGAGAATACTGCAGAGCATGGAACATCTTCAGGAAGGGTGCTTGAGCCTGATTTAAGAGGGAGTTCCGTAGACATGAGTATTTTGGATTCCTGGAGAGTTGAGTGTCCTATAAAGGAGAAAGAGGAAACTGAACAGAAGATGGAAGCAACCCCAAAAGCAGCTTTGGGATGGATTGCAGGCCAGCAGTCTTCTGGAGACATCAGTTTAAAATGCATGGCACTGTGATATCCCTTCTGATGTCAGGTAATAAATACTTTTCCAGATTCTCTTCCTGGTTGACCATGGAACTGGTTTGGCATTCCTTCCATGGTTGCTACAGCTGCCCAATGACTCTATTCGATCCTAATACCCACTTCAATGTCCTTCTGAAGAGACAGCTGGGTAGGCAGGAACAAAGAAATTTCTCATCATCTTCTAATGTCCAAAAATGTGGAATTTTAGTGGTTCATTTTTTAAAAATATTTCTTTAAGTTTATTTTTATTTTTTTATTTATTTTGAGAGAGAGATAGAGAGTGAGGGGGAGAATGGCAGAGAAAGAGGGAGACAGAATTCCAAGCAGGCTCCATGCTGTCAGCTCAAACTCACAAACGGTGAGATCATGACCTGAGCCAAAATCAGGAGTCAGATGCTTAACCAACAGACCCACCCAGGAGTCCTACTGTGGTTCTTGATGTCATTTAAGCTCATTTATATAATTTAAGATATTTATCGTGTTCAAATGTGCCATTTTATAGATGAGACAGAGCACACCTGAGAGATTATGTGCCTTCCCCAAGGCCAGCCACTAATTAGGATCAGCTGAATCCACTGGAAACAGAATTGGGACTATGTCTTCAGGCTCCTGAGTCCTAGTTGAGGTTTACCACTATCATATCACTTACACCAGTTTTAACTGATGGGCCCACCCTAATTGTAGCTTACTTGTAATTTCAGATCTCTGAAGATCCCACTAGATCCTGGACTACCATATAGGTAGTGTGCTGATGGTCTGGTAAAGATCATTGTGTATTTGATCCAGTACATTTTGAATTTAAATATGTCATGGGCACAAAGTATGCATTGTTTTTAGGGGATAGAAATGACAGCAAAATTTCTAATAAGCTTTGGGGTAAAAAAGCACTCTCAAAAAACATTATTTACCTCTCATTTTAGAGCTTATTTCCTGACCATCAGCAATATTTCATGAGAAAAGGAAGAAATGTGGTTAATAGTATCTAAAAATTAATTAAAATTAGATGCTATTTAAAAATATTTTAAAATTAGCATCCAAATAAACAGCTTGCCTTGGTAATTATAAATCAAGAGAGAGCAACTTTGGGAGGCTAAAGTGATTAACCAAGCCAATATATGAGAAATAGTTTCTCAAAAATATGGAAAGGTATTATAAATGGCACTATTTCTATAGGAAATGCAATATACAGTATCTAAAAATTGTCTCTATGTAGTGAACTCTATATTGCATCATTTCATCTATTTTTCCAATGAGAATGGGTAAATACACCAATTGTGTGGTTGGTTTGTTTTTAATTTTCATTACTAGAAGTAAATGAAATCAATAGACTCTGTTAGGATGAACTCTATGATACATGGAATTCATGTATTCTCTCTTATAAGAAGTTATTTGTATATGAAATCTTATGTACATATGATTAAAAATATGCAATTTACAAGCAAAGAAAAAACAGCTTAAAAATTTTTTTTAACATTTATTCATTTTTGAGAGACAGAGAGAGACAGAGCGCGAGCAGGGGAGGGGCAGAGAGAGAGGGAGACACAGAATCCGAAGCAGTCTCCAGGCTTTGTCAGCACAGAGCCCAACGTGGGGCTTAAACCCACAGACCATGAGATCATGACCTGAGCTGAAGTTGGACACTAAGCCGACTGAGCCATCCAGGTGCCCTGAAAAAAAAACGGCTTTAAATCTTAGTGGCCTGCACTTCAAATATCTGGCTGATACAGAAGCTTTTTTCTTTTTTAAATATTTGTTATGTTTATTTTTGAGAGAGAGAGAGCGCATGTGCGTGCAGGAGAGTGGGAGAGGGGCAGAGAGAGAAGGAGACACAGAATCTGAAGCAGGCTCCAGGCTCTGAGCTGTCAGCACAGATCCCAACACAGGGCTCGAACTCACAAACTGCGAGATCATAACCTGAGCTGAAGCCAGATGCTCAACCAACTGAGCCACACAGGTGACCCCTGATATACAGAAGCCTTTTAAAGCTAATTCAAAATTTCTATGGCTATATATGTTTAGATAATATTAACTCCTCAGCTGGCCACCCTGTGGCATTTTGCATGCAATTCTTCATTTTTTCCGTCTGTATTTTTTCTCATCTAGCTTTTTCAGAAATGTTATTCCTATTTCTGTCACACGGTCGCCTTTCAGTCTGTCTTGCAAGAATGTTACATCAGCAGCCAAATGAACCTAGGAAAGAAAAAAAAACAAGCCTGCGTCATTTAGGTTTAAAAAATAAAAACCTCTCTAAATTATTTTTCCAGCTTTATATATATAACCAATAAGGGGCCCCTTTTCCTAATGGAATGGTAAAAAAGGAGTTTGCTCTGTAGATAAAGGGTCCTTTACTGTGTGTCCTCCAGATGTGATCTGGCTGTGTGTCAGCTCGGTGGTGGGAGTCTGCAAAGAGAGGGGAGGTCCAGGCCAGGTCCGCTTTGGGAGACTCAGGGGCAAGCCCAGAAATATGGGCCCACTTTTGCTCACAGTGCACAGCTCAACTATGGGGCCATCTCAAGAAGAACACAGATTCCCAGCTTAAAGATAGCCTTGACCCAATGTGCCATGTCAAGCAGAATTTCCAAGGATAAATGGGTTCTTAAACGATTTCTTTCCAGTGGACTTGCGATCAGTCATTCTGTCATCAGCCAAATAGCATCACTTGTCCTAACAACATGTAGCAATCACTTACGACTTTGAGAGGTTTGGAAAAGTATCAACTAAATAAATTATAAATATAAAATTAAAGATTGAAATTACAGACATGAATATTTGATGTCCGGCCCTTCTCTTCCACCGTAAAGAATCTCCTACTTTCCATATGTTGAAGTAATCCCACAGGGCTTACTTGTCTATTCATTAAAATGTATTCACATAAAAGCAGCTTATTGCTGACCAACTACCCTCGACAGAGTATCTGTTCAGCTATTTTAAGTCACTGGCATAAATAAGATAACTAAGCAAAAGTACTTGGTAAAAGCAAATAATAAGTGAAAAAGCCTGGGTCTAGTAGGCAATTGAAATATAGAAGCTATGTTCACCCTCATTTTCCCCCTATAAGATCTTTTGTGTCTTTGTCAAAATTTAACAGAAGGTCAACTAAAATTAACAAGGAGGCTACATTGAAGCTGTTTGGATATTTGAGGTCACATGAGATCTGATAGCTATTTGTCATATAGCATATAGAATCAGATACTGTCCATGAAAGCTGGAGAATTATTTATATTTTTGCCTTTGTTTTATGGTTCCTCCCTTTGCCTGTAAGCTCCCAGAACATCTCCCTTCTTCTTTCTTGATTTCTTGATTATAGGGTAAGCCTAAAAATTGGTAGGATAGAGCACAGAATATCTGTGTGAATAATACATTATGTCTATTTTATTCTTCTGGATTACCTGTTATTATATCTTTCCTCTAATTATAACAGGTAATTGAAAATTATATGCATGCCTCATTATTGGGTAAGTCTATACATGTTCAGTCTTTCGCTACTCTCTGGTCCCACCACTCTTAAAAGCTCAGCTTTTGGAAAAATGAGACTTTGTGGACTGTTACTTCTTTCTAAGTTGCCCTTGAGTCAACAGTCTTCAACAGGTTGTCTTCTTCCTTCAGGTTCCATACACACTTTTACTAAGGTCCTTCCTGACCTTTTGGTCCCTGCATACTGTGAATATTTTTTCAGGTCTTGTTTCACTTAGCTTCTCTGCTGTCCTTGATCTTGGAAATCACTCCCTCTTCTTCTTCTAAATTTATATTCAGGTTAGTTAGCATACAGTGTAGTTTTGGCTTCAGGAGTAGAACGCAGTGATTCATCACTTACACATGACACCCAGAGCTCATCCTGAAAAGTGCCTGTCACCGCTTAACCCCCCACACTCCCCAGCAACCCTCAGTTTGTTCTTTGTATTTAAGAGTCTCTTATGGTTTGCCTCCCTCTTTGTTTTTATCTTATTTTTCCTTCCCTTCCCCTATGTTCATCTGTTGAGTTTCTCACATTCCACATATGAATGATACATATGATATTTGTCTTTCTCTGACTAACTTATCCACTTAGCATAATAAACTCTAGTTCCATCCACATTGTTGCAAATGGCAAGATTTCATTCTTTCTCATTACTGAGTAGTATTCTATCTATCTATATATACTATATACTATATACTATATTACTATATACTATAGTATTATATCTATCTATCTATCTATCTATCTATCTATCTATACCGCATCTTCTTTATCCATTCATCAGTGGATGGACATTTGGGCTCTTTCCATACTTTGGCTATTGTCAATTGTGCTACTATAAACATTGGGGTACATGTGCCCCTTTGAATCAGCATTTTTGTATCCTTTGGATAAATTCCTAGGAGTGCAATTTCTGGGTGGTAGGTAGTTCTATTTTTAATTTTTTGGGGAACCTCTTGAAATACTCTCCTCCTTTGTTTCTGACTTCAGTCTTTCCTGGTATTTTCCCACCTCTGATTACTCCTTCTTGGTGTCCTTTGCAGTCTTTGTATTCTCTTCAACTGACTCATGTTTTATTGCTTCCTATGGTTCCACCTGTGACTTCTTTTCCTTCCTACTCTGCACATTCCCTAGGCATCCTTTGACAGTTCCAATGACTCTTACGCCCACATCTGTGGCTTGCAGACATGTATAAAAACTGCTTATTGGATATCATTGCTTGTTTGTGTGTTAGGCACTTCAATTCTAGACCCTTCCATGCTGAACTCCTCCCTTCATCTCTCCCAACCCGCAACATACCCCTCCTTGTTCTGCTTTCTTGGTTAACAATACAATCATCCTTACAGGTTGCTCAGAACCCTAAAAAATTCCTGAATCTTTTTCCCAATCTTGTTTCTTTAAGTCAACTAATAGCCTAGTCTTACATTTAATTAATTACTAATCTGCCTTATTAATGTTGTTCACATCCAGCTCCTCCCCACTCCTATTGTCAGGGCTTTATTCTGGGTTTTTTTGAGGTTACCATCATCAACTTCCTAACTGCTCTCTTCTTCCCTCCAGCACTGTAACCTCCTGTACGCTTTCACTTTGTTGACAAAAGGATTACATTCCTAAAACAAATTTCAAAATATCATTCCCTTCTTCATAAACCTATAATGGGTCTCTGCTACTTTCTTATAACAATCTTCAGATTGTTCCCAAGCTTGTCTTATGAATGTGCCCCACCACTTCTTAAAAATCCAGCCTCTGTAAAGAATTGAAACCTCCTTTCTCAAGACAATATCTCAATCTACATGTCACCCATATGGAACTAATTCAAGTTCCTCATTCTTTGAATGAAAGATTCTTTTTGTGCTTTTGGATATGCTATTCCTTTTACCTGGAACATTACTTTCCCCTGCTCCCCTTACCCCACGGCCTTCACCTAGCTCCTATTTATCCTACTTTCTCTAGAAAATTATCTCTGCCCTCCCAGCCACCCCAGGCCAGGTCCTCCTCCAGCCATTTATCCACACGTTTTTATACAACTATTGGATTTCTCCACTGGACAGAAACTCTTGAAGGGTAGCAACTCTGTCTTACTCATCTTATATGCTCAGTGTCTTTTTTTTTTTAATAATTATCTGTTCTTAGATTTATTTGGAAGCACAATTATTTACTTACTTTTCCACACAAATTAAATTCACTAGAAAATTGCTGTCAGTGCTACTTTTTTTTGATAATGTAATTCCTATATTTCAAACTATTGTAAGGCCTTTTTAAATCTCTTTTTTTTCCTCTGCATTAATTTTGATTTATTTTTAAAATATCTTTTTTTTTAATAATTTATTGTCAAATCGGCTAATATACAGGGTGTACAGCGTGCTCTTGGTTTCGTATGTAAGTGATGAGTCAAGGGAATCTACCCTCCCAAACCAAGAGCTTAGTGCCTTTTAACTAGTCACTGTCTTTGTTCAGTCAATGAATAATTCAGGTGTGGAAGCCTGACTCCAAAATAGACTGCAGTGATCTTCACCTCCTGTTATTCACACCCTCAGGTAGTGCCCTCCCACACTGTACCAGGGTAAGCAGCACCTACTGTGACTGGATCTACCAGGGGGCCTTTGTGGCAAGGACTTTCATGAAGCCTCTCGCCTACTGCTAGCCAGCCAGTGATGCCACGTGAGTGAGCATGGAGGTGGATCGTCTAGCCTCAGTAAAGTGTTCCGGGACGGCAGCCCTGAAGGGACCAACAGCTGGACTGTGTGTGGATTAGGCTCTGAAAGGCTCTTAGACACAACCACCTAGCAAAACTCTTCCTGGATTTCTGATTCTTAGAAACTGTGGGAGATAATAAATATTAGTTGTTTTAAACAGTTGCATCTGGGGAAAATCTATTACACAGCACTAGATAAGGAATATACCCGCCAAAATGAAATATGTGCTTTACCATTTCCAGGGCACCTCTGATAATCCCACAGAGTAAATTGCAGTAGCACAGAGAGGATCGCCCGGCAGGGAGCTCTTCCACAAACTCTGCCAGGGGATTCTTGTCTAGGATCAGGGAAAATTCAGTCCTGCTTGGATTGTTACAGGTCACACTTGGTGTAATTCCCAGGTACATCTTAAAGGCAACCTAATAAAAAGGGGGGAAAATTCCAGTAAAAACTTGGTCTAGAACAAGTATCTATTATTAGCAGAGCACCCAAATATTCTGTTCCAGGCAGTGCAGCACAATGGTTAGGCATGTGGAATTTGTAGTCAGCCAGTCTGGGTTCACACTCAGCTTTGGAATGTTCTCACCCTATGACCTGTACAAGTCTTGAAGAGTTTTATTTTTATGGAATATCCTAAGGAGTATGCCTTATGAAACAGAGTTAAGCATTCTTTTGTAAAAGATCTCTTTCAAAAATAAATATCCTTCTAATGAACTATTTGTAAAAAAAAATAAAAATAAAAAAAATAAAAAAATAAATATCCTTCAGGAGGGCAAGAAATGAAAATATTAGTCATCAACATCCTAGTATGGGAAGTCGCATGAGCCTGGTAAGGGATAAGATCCTGAATAAGAAGGGACTCAAGACATACCTGCCACGATGGTAAGGTGGTAGAGTACGGGATGCCGTTGGACAATCAGACCAAGGGTGTGCTTCGGAAAGTGGAGGAAGTATATCACAAAGGATGACAAGTCTCTAACAAGGAGCAAGGGATAGTGGTGGTATGATTCACATAAATGAGTCATAAGGTAACTTCTCAAAAAAGTCTGCTGTATTTAAGGGCTTCCAGAATTTCACAATGTTGAGATGGAAAAAATCTTGGAGACTATTTCTTTTATACCTCCAGTTTCATAAATGAGTAGGTTGGGATTCAGAAAAGTAAAATGACATGGCCAAGGCTATGCTGTTGATCAATTCCTTGACTCCTTTCTTCTCACAAAATGCACTGGAATTTGAAGTTTATTATCAGGAACTTATTAACTCGTCTTTCAAGTGTCTTAATTAATTTAATTTTTAAAAAGATTTATTTATTTATTTATTTATTTATTTATTTAATTTGAGAGAGAGAGAGAGACAGAGCATTAGTGGAAGAGGGGCAGAGAGAGAGAGAGAAGACAGAGATAATCCCAAGCAGGCTCTGTGCCATTAGCATAGAGCCCAACATGGGGCTTGATCCCACCAACCATGAGATGATCACCTGAGCTGAGATCAAGAGTCAAGACACTTAACCAAATGAGCCACCCAGGCACCCCAATTAATTTCATTTTTAAAATTAAAAGCAGTGTAGGACAGAAATGGAAACAATTTTCTTAAATTAACTATAATTAGAAGTCCTGAAAGGTTCATCATTCATTCAATAGGTACTTACTGAACACTGCCATTTCTAGCACGCTGTGGGAGTTCAATAACTATTTGAAAAACAAATTATTAAATGAGTATGCATTCTGTGTTTGATACCATGTTTAGGCTCAGAATACAAAAGTTAATTAAATATAGTTCCTGTTTTATAAGAGCTCATAATCAGAAAGGGGCTATGAGATATTAAACAAAAATACCTGCAATGGTGTTAAGTCCTACAAGTACAGTGTTCTATATTAGGAAGCAATCCAGCAAATACCAACAGAGAAGGAAACTGCTATTCTGTTCATGAATATTGAATGAGAATTTACCAGGTAGACAGGGTGGGAGTGGGTGGTATTCTAGGTAGAGGGAACATGTCATGGGCAGGAAATACCGTGATCAAGTTTAGGGCAGATTGGCATCTGTCAATTGTGGGTAGCACCAAGCCCTGAAGGTGTGAGTAAGCTAGGACAGAACTGAATTTCCATTTGAAGGATCTCCTTTGTGTGAGCCTGGAGGATGGATTTAGGAGGATGGAGGGTAGGGTTAGGCATGAGGTCAAAGTCAGAGAAATGATGAGGACCTTCTCATTTTGTCTTTCACTGCAAACTCAAATGCTCCCTGAACCTTTCCATAGAAATTTTAAGTAGCCCAAATCTTAAAATTTGGCTCAAATCTCTGACACTAGACAGTTTAAGAGGATACAAAATGAAACTTTCAGATCTTAAGGCAAAATAGCAAAAGCAGCAGTCTTAAGTAGCAAGGGAAAAATCATCATGAGACTCTGGCCTGGAGACTAGATTTGGCTCTCAGTGAATTGGCTGAAACCCTATTGCTGTGAATGTTGATTCCTCTGGCTGGAAAATTCCTAGACTATTATTTACAGGATTGAGAATCAGAAAAAAATTCTGATTCTCAATCCAAGCCATGTGAAAATACCATAAAATGGAAGCTGTGCACTCTGAATTTACATGGATGCTGTGTTTGGGCCCTGGTTCATGGCTCAAAATTCACCAGTAGGAGGCATTATCTGAGCACGGTTGGGAAACACTCATTCCTGGGGAATGACATTGTTTCCTTATCTGGCTGAATTTGGTCTGAGAAGGAGGACTGTTGTTTCTAATGAAGAAAGAGCTCCACCCTCGGCCACGGACACGGCTGCTCTGCCAATAAATAAGGGCAAAGGATTTTCCCTTTGTGTGTCTTCAACATGGATGCTTTTCAGGGGATTTTAAAATTCTTCCTCAACCAGAAAACTGTTATTGGCTACAGCTTCATGGCTCTGCTGACCGTGGGGAGTGAGCGTCTCTTTTCGCTGGTGGCTTTTAAGTGTCCCTGCAGCACTGAGAATGTGGTCTATGGGCTGGTTTTCCTGTTTGCTCCTGCTTGGGTGTTACTGATCCTGGGCTTCTTCCTGAACAGCAAGGCATGGAGGCTTTTCACAGGCTGCTGTGTGAATCCCAGGAAAATCTTCCCCAAGGGTCACAGCTGCCGCTTTTTCTATGTCCTCGGCCAGATCACTCTGAGTTCATTGGTGGCTCCAATGATGTGGCTCTCTGTGGCTCTGCTCAATGGCACTTTTTATGAATGTGCCATGAGCGGGACCAAAAGTTCAAGACTCCTGGAACTGATTTGCAAGGGCAAGCCCCAGGAGTGCTGGGATGAACTTTACAAAGTGTCTTGTGGCAAAACCAGCATGGCCCCCACGGACAACGAAGAACTAAAACTGTCCCTGCAAGCCCAGTCTCAGGTAAGAAAGGACAAACTTGCCTTTTTCTCCCCACGCGAAGTATTCTCTCTGTGCTCATTTCCGGCAGAGCTGAATCTGAATCCTGCTAGAACATTTTGAAACCAAATAGAAATTGGAACATGATGCAGCATTAAGACAATCTCAGGAAAAGCTTTTTGGGGGTTGGTGGCTCCGCAAAATTGCTGATTGGATTGTCTTTTCCACTTCTGAAAAGAAAATATCCTCTGGGTCATGCATATGTAAATACTTAAGTGCTTTAAAACAGTCTCTCCGGGTTGACTTTGTAAATAATGCATGACGCTAACTCATAATTGAGCGTTAATGACAGAGCTGTAATTAGAAATTACTGCCTTCTATCAATTATTTATTTTCAAACTGGTTTCTCAGAAAAACACACACACACAGCATTCATCTATTAAAATATGGCTGAACCAAATGAGCTCTTATTTCTCAAAGCTGCACATAATATAATTAGTGTAGAGATTCCCTCAAGTGATTTCTGGCAACTGTTATCTCTACATATAAATATTGTCAAGACTGAGAAAGATTTCCTGTCCAAAATGGGAGTTGGCAGTCCTTAAATAGCCTTCAGTGAAAAGTGACCGTATTCTCTAGGGAGGTTACGTCCTCTGGTCTTCGCGCTCTACAGCTGAAGTTCCTACATTCCTTTAGAAGCTCAACATTTGGGACACTGTTTTATTTAACAGAAGGAAATTGTAGCTTTACCTAATTGACACAGGGAAGTAGCTTGTCATCCGTCCAGGTACATGAGCACAAATCCAGATGTGGAGCTTTGCCCTGGCCTCAGGAAAAGACTGAATTCCTACTTGGGAGTAGTAGGATTATGTTCCCCAAACCAAAACAACCAGTAAGAGCACATAAACAGATCCACAATTTGTCAGGAATGCTATTTGTTTCAGAATAAATGCACTGAAAATAGCATATTTTTAGTTTTTCAGCAAGGACTTGCCTTTTCAACAACACATCAAGGCAGTCTGGTTTTAAAATCATGCTTTCCAAAGCTGGTTGGCAGTAGAGTCAGACAGTACTTTTTCCATAGGCTGATAAGCTTCAAAATATCCCACAACAAAATCTTTTGTTGAATGCATAAAGCACATCTTAGATTAAAACATGCCGGGATCCCAAATGTCTTCCTTCTTTTGTTGAAGGAAGGTATTAATTACAAATGTTATGATACAATGAGTGATTTATGTTTTATGTCCTCAGACACCAGACGGGGTTCTATTCAGTCCTTGCCAGATCCAAACACTTATCACTGTGTGAGCTTTTCTTCTCTAAACACAGGCATAAGGAATCATGCATATCCTGTCATAGCGTAGCCTGGGCACACTACCTGTTTACTTCTCAGCAGAATGAGAAAGACCTGGGGCTCATTTCTAGAGGAGTAGGCATGCAGGATGTAGACAAGGGGAGCTGTATCAATGACAGCCGCTGACCCCAGTGGTTCAGCCAGGCAGGAGCGACAAGGAATCCAGACAAATAGTTGGATATGTGGGTGGCGGTGGAAAAAGTACCCTATCCATGGGTGGGGCAAAGAAAGAAGAGACCCAGCTGGATTTCTAGCTTCTATTCTTAAGGATGTTAGAGTCGACAAGTGGCAAGAGCTTGGTCTTAGAGTTGGCTAGCCTGGGTTTAAATCCTGACTCCACCACTTACCAGCTCTGTGACCCAGACTAATGGTTTGACCCCTCTGAGCCCCAGTTTGCTCATAGCTGGGAATAGTAACACCTACCTTGGAGAGGTGTAGAAATGATGGACACAAATGAGCCTAAAGCTGTTGACTCACAGTAAGTGTTCTAAATTAATGAGAAAACTGCCAGGGTTTGAGAGAGGAGACTCATGCAGAATGGAACATATTGAGGGCTGGTGTGGGAGCCCCCACCATGTCGAATTGGATTCTGGGTACTATGAATTGGGGAAGAAGAAGAGGGCTCAGTGCTCAGTACTCAGGTGACAGCTAGGTAACACCAAAGTCACGCAATGTGGAAGGAGGAGTCTGTAGTTGATCAAATAGTATAGTTCAGGCAG